GACGGGCAAACGGGTGGCTATTCCCCGGCTCCCTCCACTGGGCGTTACCGAGCAGGGCGGCCAGGAGTCTGCGAACTCCAACAGCGGGTCCCACGGGGCCGGTGTTCACCCGTCACGGTCCAAGCCTCTCGGCCCGGCCCGCCCTGCAGCACGCCAGCTGGGCAGGGACAGCAGCACGGACAGGCCAGGGCCCCCGCCGACCCTCCAGGAGCCCGCGTGTGGCCGCCCCGGAGCGGCGCGCCCCCCTTTACCCTCGCTCTGCGCTCGGCCTCGAGGCGCTGCACGATCAGCACGGCGTCCACGTCGTCCTCCTCCTCGTCCTCCTCCTCGTCCTTCTGTTTGGACTCCTGGAGCCTCTTCTGGAACTGCCACTCCAGCATGAGTTTCCGCAGACGGTCGCTCTCCTCCGCACTGCGCTCGGGCTTGCTCTGGAGCTCCTGGATCTCCCTGCTCAACATATCCACGATGTGCATCTGCTGCTGCTTCTCCAGCTTCTCCCGGGCATCCCGCTTCCACGGGTCCGGGGACAGACTGTCCCCAGACGACAGCTCCTCCTGGCTGACTGTAATGTACTGCAAGTCCCTGCGCTCGATCGTGCGGGGCTGCTGCTGGGGCTGCAGCTCCCGAATGACCGTCTCCTGGGGCCTCTGGAGCGTAGAAGGCTTTTCTGGCTTCGCGTGTGGGACGGTCACAGGAGAAAACGGGGCTGGGTTCAGGGACTGGGAGCGCATCTGGCCCAGCTTCCGCTCCTGCTCCCTGCGCTTCCTGTCCCGCTCCTCTTCTAGACGGGCCTTCTCCTTCTCATACCACCGCTGGTGCTCCTCCCGCTTCCTCCGCTCTGCAGCCGCCGCCTGAGCAGACACAGGTCCGGTCTGGCCGGCAGGAGGCGGAGGGAGAGGCAAGTCCATGGGGATTCCATCGAAGTCTCCAGCGTAGTGTGTGGGGGGCGGTGGGGGTGGCGGGGGCAGGTCTGTCTGCACAGGCTGGGAGACAGCCATTGGCACGGGCTGCACGGCGGCGGGTGTCTTCCAGCGCCCAGGGCCGCTTTTGGTCAGAGTGGACGCGGGGGTGCCTGACTTGGAGGAGTGGTCCAGGTGCTCTTGGCTGGAGGTGCTGGAGCCCACGGAGGAGCTCTGATGGATCCACATATCACTATCAGACTTGCGATCCAAGACTGCCTCAATCCGATGCCGCTCTAGTTGGTAAGCTTTATCCTCCCGAAGTTCCTCTTGGGAACGGGTAACACGCTGGAAAAAGGAAAAAGGAAAACTGTTCTATTTCAGCCGCTTAGAAAAAAATTACGAAAAACACGTAAATGTTTTATCTTCGGGGAGAAAACATTGTGGGGAAACTGTTAAGGGAGTGCGGAACAGAGGTTGAGACCGTCCAGCTCCGTGGCTCTGTGGGACGCATGATGGGGGGGGGGGGGGGGGGGCACCATGTCCGGGGATGGGGGTGGGGTCAGTGCTTTTCCAGGGAATTTATCTGTTACAAACAGGAAGGAGCTGTACTTCCCATCTGCATCACTGGCAAACATAACAAGGCACACTCATGCAGGTACTTCACGGACAAGCGTGGCCCTCCCCAATCGTTGGTGGGCCCTCGCACGCCTCTGCAAAGGGGTGCCTCTAGCAACTGACTTTGAAAGGATGAATGTGTTTAGTGTAATTACATAAAGAGCAACAAGATTTACTTCCCCGTAGTAAAATTCTGAGTAAGAGTCATGATCCAATCTTAACCATGTCAGCCATGGTTCCACCAGCTGATGACTGACTGTGGGAACACTCCAACAGAGCTGGGCACATGCCAGGACAAACCAGGCATCCAGGTGTCTCTGTCCCCATCTCAGAAAGGTACAAAACAGCGTGTATGTGTGGAAGAGACCAAAATGAACACTCTTCCCAAGGACTAGTCTCTGCACAATGGCATGTCTAAAAATTGTTTAAATTGATAGAAATGGATTCACTATGATGTCATTTTTTCCCTATCTTTTAATATGCGGAATAGAAAATGAAGATGCAAATCTGGAAAATAAGCTGTTTCCTTTCCTTAAAAAATAAGCCAACAACAAAAAAATGAAATATCACTTGAAAAAAAAACAGTAGCCTGATAGAAGAATGGAGTATTTACTGCCCACATTTTGCTACAGCTATACTGTGCCCACAGAAACAGTTTCTTGCTCACTGGCCTGAGTCCAGACCCTCGAACAAGGCAGGGTTTAGGGGCACCGAACCCCGGGTGGTCAAAATTCCACATAAAACTTCAGACTCCCTGAAACTTAACTACTAACAGCCTACTGCTGACTGGAAGCCTTACGGAAACATCAACAGTTGATCACCAACTATTTGGTATGTCTTATTATACGCTGTACTCTTACAACATACGCTCAACTACAGGAAAGAAGACATCATTAAGAAAACTGTTAGGATAAGAACATACATTTACAGCACTGTACTGAAAAACGGGCAGTTCAACCAATGTTGCTCAAGTCAACGGTATCATTCAATTTCCTACTATCTGTAGGAACAGATACTTTCATTAAAGTACAAGACGTCAGAGGTCCCGCCTCAGACTGTCCACCAGCTTCTCCTCCCGCTGCCACACTGAGCCTCCTGGATCACTGCTCTGCTCTTCCTGACTTCACGAGCCCCCTGGTGCCCTTGTTGCATTTCTCCGTATGTCTCCCCTGCTAAGTCCTACCCTGAGGCTCAGTCATGTCAAGATCCACATAAATAACCCATCGACACGCTGACCTCTGAGCGTCCTGACTTCCTCTTCTAGCTCATTTATCTCCGAGGTGAGGCAGAAACAAACAGCAGACATACACTATGAACCTAGAGGCTTAAAAATGGTATTCCTGTCAAATAGGAGAAAATGTGTAGATGCTCTTGACACAGGGGAAGAAGATTTTCCTAAGGGCTAACAAAATACGCTAGAGAAGGCAGGGCACACAAGTACTTCACTGTGGAAGAGAAATCTGGAGGAAGACCTTCACCAACTCCAGCCAGACATCCAATGGTCCCAGACAGATTGGGCGGGGGGCAGTGACCAGGCCTCCCTAGGAAACAGGCGGAAGGGCCCTGTGCACAAGGTGACGACATCTGTGACCTCAGGATAACTTCTTGCCCTCAGAGAATGTGGCTCTTCCTCACGGCTGCTCATGCCGTCCCCTGTGCCTGTGAGCCCGCCTCTGCTCTCCCGGCCTTCCCGGCTCAGCCCAGCTGCGCCTCCATCCCTGGGTCTCCTCCGACCACCTCAACTAAAGCATCACATGCAGAACTCACTATCCAGGACCCGTATTTGTTACATACCCTAGACCGTGCCTATCTCTACGCATACGTTTGATTTCTTCTCCCAGACTTCCACAATGCAACGTTACCTTTCCAAACAGAAAAAACACATCTGATGATGTCCCCCAGCTCAACGACTCAAGACTGATGCTCCCCTCTCTAACTTGGATAAAACCCCAATTCTGCAGCTTATCACTTCAAGCCCTTGCTGTACGGTTCCAGGCCGCAAAGGCCTGCCACCGCCCCCTGCCCCGAACCCGGTTCCTGCTCAGCGGCCCATCTCCGTGCCTCTCACTTGGTCTGAAAAGCTCTTCTGTTCAGACAGCTGTAATGTGATGCGGGGCCCAGGTGCTGGTCACACCGAGACTGAAAGGTAGCTCTGCCACTCAGTGGGGACCCAGACCTCCAGCAGGACTTACTACACCGTACTGACTTCATCTGTCTCATTTCCTAGCCACATCATTAGTTTCACTGGCGGGGACCATGGTTACGTCTGCATCCCAGTGCTTGGACAACTTCTGGTACAAAGAAAAACACACATCACTCATTTCTCACTCCTTGAATCAGGAATCCTGCCTCACAAACTGTAATGAAGGTGTGCTATTACTAACCCTTCACTAATCAAACATCAAGGGAATAAAGCATTCCTTTTCATATTTAGTATTCCTTCCTATCCACTCTTCCTCAGTTAACCAGGAAAGAAAAAAAAAGGTATCAGTCTCAGTGCTGTCCTACAGAGAATATCGACTGTATCTCTGAAATCAACCAGATTTTACCATCAAACTGGTTTATCTTTGACGGCTGCAAATGTTCACGGACTCCTTCTCTCTAACCTGAATTGCAATACTGGAATGATTACTGTCTGCGTGCATGTGTGGCTTCTCCTCGTAATTTGGCCACTGGTTCTGAGGAGGAGCCATCCGGTCCTGGGATTTGGAAGCTGGGAAGGTGAAATACTCTCTGGTGTACGTCTGAGTGGGGATGGGGTAGGCCTCAGGTCTCGGTGGAGGGGTCTGCTCCTGTAAAATGGGAAGAAGAAAGAAAAGTGAGCTTTTGGCAATTTGTACATAAATTCATTTAATTTCCAACGATCTGTTTTAAAATATAGTAGATACATTCAAAATTGTGTTAAAAATTAAAAGTGTTTGATCCTATACGGAGAATAATGAAAAACCTTTTATTTTGCCCTGACTTCTTAACTTAAAGCTAATTTCCTTATTATGTTAAGAACGAAGAAGCCCCCAGGACTTCTAAACGCTGCTGATGTGCAGAGGAAATGCGTGAGGAGACAGTTCAGGGGTTCTGCGCGAGGCCCGGCTGCTGGCTGGAGTGAGGACGCTGGCATCGCGCTCATACCTCGGTGCAGAGGTTCCCGGTGGAGACAGACGTGATCTTCGCTGTCGTTCCAGGGGCATACGTGCTCTTCCCTCCGGGGCTAGGGGGTTGATCTGTCGGAAAGAGACAGTGAAAAGCAAGGTTTTTTTTTTTTTTTTCCAAGTATCACAATGTTTATTCTGTGTCACGTGACAAGAGCTCTTTAAGGGCAGTGACCATGTGTCACGCATCTTCAAACTGCCAGTGAGGAGTCAGCACAGAGAACGCTGGGGGCCACGGGAGAGAGCAGGGCTCATCACACCCTCTCCTCTCTCCTGAATAACCAGAGCCCAGAGCTACCAAGCTTCATCTACAGACCAGGGACCGGCAAACATTTCTGGCAATGGGACAGACAATAAATACTTTAGGCGCTGCAAACCTTGTACGTGTTGTATATCCTTCTATTGATTCTTCTTCTTGTTAACAACCCTTTAAAAGTATAAAAACCATCTGAGCTCCTGCTGGCAGCCTGCCACCTCCTGCTAGCGACAGGATCAATGACTCATCTAGAGCATCAACTGAATCGATGTGTTCTAACCTAGTTTTTATTTTCTGTTGGAAGAACATTACTTTTGATATCTCTCACAAAAAGCACATTTCCGTTAGCCAGGATGTGCAGGTAATCCTATTGCTTTGATAACTAAGCAAGCACGGGGTGTCCCCCCAACACTGATGGTGACCGAGCATGTCCAGGCCAAGGAAGGACAGGCGAAGTGACCCCTCTTACTTGCCACGTTGGGGCTGGAGCGGTGATCAGCCCGGTTCTTCATCAGTCTGTCGTCACCTGGCAATTTCTTAGGTTCACTGTATTCTGCCCAAGGCAGCTGAGGGCTCTCAGGTGACCCATTTGGAGCTGAATTATTGTAGAGCTCAAAACCTTCACTCTTTGGACGGGGTTTACCTGAGCCACGACGATCTGAAACTGAAATCAAAGCGCATTCAGGCTCTCCTCATTTATTCAAGATTTTAAACACCCTATTTAGTCTTTAAAGAAAGATGAATCTATAAATATTTAAAATTTCATAAGCCCTTATTTTTAGTGGAAGAAATAAGGTAATTTTTTTTTTTTTTATCTAAGAGTAAAATCTTTCTTGAGAATCTTAAAAGCAACATTTAACTGGCACTGATGGGAAAAAGTGCTTTTTCCAACCTTATTTTCTCATAAACTCCACCTGTTAAGTCACAAGGCTACTTTTAAAGTAACTTTTTTAAAAGTGAAAGATATACTTCCCTCACTTTCTAAAACACACTCGTTCTTTTAGTAGCCGGCACTGCCATCAGCCGGTGGGACTGTTCACGCTCTCCTTTGGCTTTCATGTCTCCCTGTGTGGCAGCCCGGGTGTGTTCTCTGTTCTAACAGCTTCCCTCTGACTTCTAACTCATGGTCTGGTTCGCTTCTTGGAAATGACCCTAAGCTGTGACATTAGACCACCAATATGGTACTGTCCTGAAAAAAGTTAAGAAATATGCTGAGTTGAGGTCTATACTACAACACATGGTTGTGTTAAGATACGCTGTTTATTCCAGTAAACAGCAGGCCCAGGTTCTCAGAAGCTTTGGTTGCTGTCGTGCTACCCTTAGGTCGACTTCAGGTCCTGGACTTGGTGGAAGCTCCTAGATCACTGACTGATGAAGAAGGGAGCTCCACCAAGGCCAGACCGAGCGGCTGTGCACAAAGTTAGCAAAGTAAATGCAAAGTATATAATGATTTAAAAAGATAGTGTCTGAGTCCTAATGGGTTTTCCTCTGTGATTTCTGAACTAATCCTTTTTAAAAAGTCTTAAATTTATAGCGGTTTTATTCTGAGATTTTTGACGTAGGAACAAAATCATGGTTCCCACCAACAGATTACCTTATCCGAATAATTGAGCTTTTAATTTAAAGTGAAGTACATATAACTGGACAATCATGTCCTGCACACACAGGACTGAAATAACTATTCATACACACATTCGTATACGTTGTTTCAGTAGAGAACCCTGCTTGTCCTCTGAAGACTTTATATGCCGCATCACCCGCTGACTACGACTAAGTGCCTAGTGCAGGGTGGACGGACACCCTCCAGCAGCCAGCCAGCCCCATGGGGGTTCCTGCAGGGCAGGAACATAGTGAACCGCCGTGTGGCCAGACACTGAACGGTGCTCTTGGCTATTTATCCTGAGCATCTTGCCGAAGGGCCTGCAGCCCCAGCTGGGACGGCGAAAGCAGTAGCACCTAATCCACAGAGTTTTTGTGGCTACGAAGAGAAGGTCAGGACAGTTAAATGCCTGGCATGCGGTAAGTGATCAATACAAGCCAGCTATTATTGGCAGTGGTCAAAGAAAGAGATAGCATGCAATTCTCCGTAATGAGCTCTTACTTCTTTGCATCATTGGGGATGGCTGATTGAGCAGGGTGGCGAGGCCGTGATAAATTGCTCCTTGCTTTGCGACTTCTAGTGTTACCACAGAACTTGTTCTTGTCATGAGTTCTGCTGCCCTAGGAGAAAGAGAGTAGCACAAACGTAAAGGAAATGTCACAACAACAGCCCGTGACCAGAGCAACCGACGGCTATTTCGAGTAACAGTTCTGACCTTCAGACAGATGACCTACTGCCCATTCCCTTACTTTAAAGATTAACTAAGAACACATCTCCTATGGTCATATTAAGAACAGTAAGATGATCCTCAGACATTCCCAGGACGTGCCAAGAGTATGTTTTTTTTAAGCTTCAAAGAAACTGCTCCAAACCAAAATACATATTTATAATCTGCTAACAAATGAGGTGTCATGTACACTGGTCTACATTTAAAAAGGGGAAGAGTAAGGGCGCAGCTTTTTAGCATTATTTTTTGTCTTCTAATTCCAAACGTGAAACACCCCTAAACACGTTAATATTCAGCTTTAAACAAACAAATACATAAATGATACCTTTCTTGAGAGAGTCCTACCAGACTTCGTCCGTCCACACTGAGGAGCTGGTCTCCTGCAGCCAGGCGTCCATCCTGTGCACACCCAAGAGGCATGTGTTTTGGGCCGTGGGGACAGCCGGACAGCCAAGGGCAAAGAGGAGGAAGAAGAAAGTCAGCGGCAAGGAAGCTCACGCTTGTTTGTTCAACAAACAGTCTACATGGTGTTTTATAACAACATGTATCAGAGGGTCACAGCAGGTCGTTTGCTGACTAGGACATACTGAAAACTTACATCTTTAAAAATGACACTAACCCCATCAGCAGCACCTCCTTTTACAACAGACTTGACATAGATTCCAAGTTTATCTTGGCCAGCACCCTAAACAAAAACAAGGCAACACTGCTTGAAAATACACAGTAAAAAATACAATACTCAGTAAAATAAAAAAATAAAAAATAAATAAAACTAATACATAGATAATTGCAACAAAAGTCCTGGTTCTTGCTTTTACATGAAAATTAGTACTAAGAAAATCAACACTCTATTTGGTAAATATAAAGGAAGGAACAGGAAACGTACCTATTTTTATCTTTCTAAATCAAAGAGTACTCTGGAAAAATCGATTATTAATAAACCAGTTGATGAGATGGCTAAGTGAGCTAAATCTACACTCATGACATATACTATTAATCACTTAGATACAAAAGCAATTTACTATAGTATTTTTATATTCCAATATTTGCCTATATCCCCTTATTATTTCCAAAGCTGTATTTTAAAACTTAAGAAAAAACTTCTTGTGGCATCCAGGAAGGGGGACTTAGGTAGTAAGGGAGGATTCTGATCCTGTGCATCGTTTCAACTGAAGGATCATGTATTATAACTCTAGATGAATATGGAGCTAGGAGCCCCGATCCAAACGGAATGCACATCAGGACAAGCAGCTTCTGTGAAACAGGTTTCAGGAACATATACAACTCTTGTACAGAATCACCAACATTCTACTTGGACATTCCAACCAGAACATAAAAATCCATTACGGATAATTTATTGGAACGACCACAGAGAGCAACTGCATGCGTGAAATCTCACTTGGATGTCTTAACTCAGGGTAATTTCAATAGTTACGAAGTACTAGGTCATAAAATAAAAAATGTAAAAGGTATCCCAGAGAGTTATATAGTGATTTCAATAAATGACTTAATTGAAACAAATATTCCACAACACTCTGGAAGTACATAATTTCCACTGTAAAACTCTTCATTCCTCCCTTTCGCTACGAGAGCCGGTTTGGAGAGTACAGTCTGACTGGGGAGCTCTCCCCTCAGGGAAAATCCAGCATGTAGCATGCCACTGTTTCATGAGCCTAAAACCGTCTATTACGTATCTCATTAGGAAAACGGCATAAAATGTCTCAATTTAACAAAACAACTCAATTTTGGGAAACTGTGTTTCAAGTTTCGTGTGGTTACGTTACCTGCGAGCTGAGTTTATAAAAGTTCTAATAGAAGGTAAAAAATCAAGTCCTCACTTCTGCAGCTCCCCACCCTCTGGTCTAGGTTTTCCCATCTGTTCACCTCCACATGTTCCTCGGTGTCTGTCTGTACCATATCCCCTCGCTGCACATCTCCTGCCCAGCCCCAGACACCTGGCTGCCTACTGGACAGATGCATGCCCCTTAGAAATCATCCAGCTGGACTTCCAGTACAACAGGATGACCAAGTGCAAGCTGACACCTCTGCCTGGTCCTTCTGCCACACACAAACACAGCACTGAGACAGGTGGCAAAGCTTGTAGTTTTTTTAAGTTTAAAATTTCACAATAAAAAATATATATAGTAGGCACTCAATAAATGGCAACTTCCTGAATTTTAGCATGTCACTTAGCAAGAGAGAAATAGAGCAATAGATATACCTTTTACCTGATTTCGCCCAGGCCAATCCCGGGTTTCCCTGAACCTAGGGAACTAACATGCAATCAGGGGAATTACTTCTAAGCCAGCTCCACCCCCACCCCATCTGTTATAATATGAAATAGGGTATTCCTTCTCATGTCATCTACTTAAATGACTTTTCCCCAATATATTCCATACTTTTATGCAATCTGCGATTGACTGCTTAATTCAACAACTCAGCTATTTAAATGACAATTTTACTCCTTCAACAAATATTCACTGAATGCTTCCTTATACTATCCTAAGCTCTGCACACACATCCGTGAACAAAGCAGACAAACACCCCTGCCCTTGTGAAGCTTATATTCCAGAGTAGTCTCCCTGTAGCTGTCTAATAATTTTGACTGGGGCACTGAAAATCCCCCTTCTCCTTTTCTGCAAATGCTGCAGGGTATTTCCTTACAGCTAATACCTCAGGCCAGATTGTTTCTCCAAAGGTTCTAAGAGCCTAACTACCTGTTTCCTGTGTTCTCTGTCTGACCGAGAGCAAAGCAACGCTCACGGCATTTCAGGATACAGTTTTAGTGTGAACGGTGGGCACTTACATCTTCATGATGTAGTATAGACCATAAAAACTGCCCTTTTAAGAAGATACTCAATTACTACCATCTTTGAAACGAAAAACGTTTACTAGTAATACTAATAGCATATTTTTAGTAACAGTGATATAAATAATAAAATACCCAATACATACATTTTTATAAAAATTTTTAAATTTTTAAAAAGATTTTAGTTATCTGACACAGAGAGAGAGAGCACAAGCAGGGGGAGCAGCACAAAGAGTCAGAGGCAGACGGAGAAGCAGGCTCCCAGAGGGGGAGCCCGATGCGGGACTCGATCCCAGGACCCTGAGATCATGACCTGAGCTGAAGGCAGACGCTTCACGGATGGAGCCACCCAGGTGCTCCCCAAATATATACATTTCAAAACAATAAACCAAGACCTCCCCCATTTCTGGTACTCTTTATAAGAAAAATTATTAATAATGAAACAAATAACATTTAGACAAACAGTAAGAGGGCTCTGTCTTTCTAAAAATCACAAAATGGAATGATAAAAGAACAAGAGAAAAAAACTGCTGCGTCTCCCTCCGTCAAGGCCCTGCTCACACACCCTCTGCTGCCCGGCCAGTAGCTCCTTTGTCACAATTCTCACTCTGGGAAGGGGAGTTCCACACTCAGCATGAACGGGAGCTTCACTGCAATACCCCTTTCTGCGTTCAGACCAGGAAACACACGCTGAGGGGAGCTACCAGGCCCCATACTGCGTTTTAGACAACCGATACGTGCTTCCAGCTGGGAGACTCTGTACGAACTGCAAACACTATGCAGATCACCGGAAACCCCGTAGCATCTTTCGAGAGGCAGTTTAGGATCCGACATGCGATGTGAGGCTTATGAAGTCTATGTTCAAATCTTCAAGTAAAACCGATGATGTAATACAGATACCGGACGGCATCGTGACCGTCACGTCTCTCAGGCGGAAATGTCCTGAGCAAGCCTCCTTGTCACTGCCCTGCTGGGGTCCCCTCCGTGCCGCCTGCCACAGGAGCCCCTTCCCCAAGCACGCCCCGCGGGGCTCCCGACCCACGACCAGCGCAGCTGCCCGCCTGGGCAGAAGCACCACGCCCCGAGCCTGAGGTAGGCTCTCACCCCTCTTGCCACACGCTCGGCCCGATCCAGATGCTCCTTCACGTGCCCCCATGCCATCCTGTTTCCGTGTTCCCGCCTTTGTTTACGCTGTACTTTCCACACAAAACGTCTGATGCAATCTGTCTGCCAAAACGCTTTCGTCACTTGATTCCCAGGCTCACCTGCCACTCTTCACCAAGCCACGTACCTTCCAACTCAGGATGGATACAAGCTCTTTCCTACCTATGTGCTATGTTCCCGGAACGGCTCCTCTGTCCTGTATTCCAGCTCCTGACAGTACAGACGGCTCTCCCCCACCTGCTTTCCCTGGTTGCTGCCTCCTATCCTCCTACCATGTGGTCAACAGCATCCTCTCAAACCCTGCCACAAGACAGTCCAGAATCCCATTGAATGAATGCATCAGTATTCGTATTTGTGGGTTAGGAAGCAGCTGATGCAGCTATCACAGAGTGAGCTGGTAACACTGGGACGTTCCTAGTTTAACAAGGTAGGAGCCCTAAGCATTTCTGACTATGGCACCACACGTACTGTTCCAAAGATGCTATCTTCCATTACTGTTGTTGGGTAATGGACGATGGGAATTTATCTAAGTTCTAAGCTACAATCACGTTAATTCCAAGTTCAATTTATCAGTGTATCTGCTACTCAGAAGAGGAGATCTTCATCTGAGGAATTATGAGACAATGATTATTAGAGACCTCAATTGCAAAGACCCAATAGGCTTCTAAAAGGTCCTTTTAAGGTTGGTCATAAAAAGACTTAATAATTAAGTCACTGACGGTGCATAATGAAATACATAAAAAAAAAATACTCTTGGAGGGTGATACACAAGTGAAGAATATGGATCTAGAATATTCTAAAGAGGTATCCAAGCTTTGGTTAGCATCTGAATCTTACTAATGTGGTCTCAAACCTTGCACTACTTACCTAGAAATATTCTTTATTTAACAGACCCACTGCTTACATTTCTGTAAACATGTTGCCATTCTGCTAACCTTTAACCTTCTCCTGGAGACATGGTCCCTTTAGCAGACCTACTCCACTGGAACTCCCTTCCATCCTCCCATTCTGGCCCCTCCCACCTCTGCTTATTTGAAACCTATCTCTACTTCATGGGCAGCTGTTATAAACTGCACATAAAAAACTGCAAGTACAATTGTTGTACAGAGAAATGACCAGTTCCACTGGTTATTATTTTAGAAAAACAAATTTACAGATGGATACTCAGAAATCAAAGAAGTCTAAGGAATTTATTTTTAAAGATGTTATTTGTTTGACAGAGAGCGAGCGAGCACGAGCAGGGGGAGCAGCAAAGGAAGACGGAAAGCAGACTCCCCGCTGAGCAGGGAGCCCGACTTGGGGCTTGATCCCAGGACCCCGAGATCATGACCTGAGCCAAAGGCGGACGCTTAACCGAATGAGCCACCTAGGCGCCCCAGAAGTCTAAGGAATTTCTAACTATACACACATATACACATATGTGTGTATATACATAAAATCAACATGGACAGTTACTTTCAACCCAGAACACCACAATCTCTGGCCAACTCCAAGGGGACCCAATGTCTCCACCTGGCTGCAGCAGCCCTGGTCTGGAATGTCCACATTGACAGGCTGGACAGAGGGGCATGTAGGTGCTGCTTCCTCCCTGCTAATGCCACTCGGACTGGGAACAGCTCAGCTCTTGGAGCACCGAGGCAAACTTACCACCCGTCAGGCTGCAATAACTCCTTAACATTACGAAGCTCTCACTACCTGCCCCACTTCATCTG